CAATTCATTAAAAAGAAAAAAAAAGGAGAAAGTAAAAAAAACCGATCGCCACTCTAGCTTCCCCAAAAAAAAAAAAGAGAAAAACGCTAGAAGGTCTCCCGATCGCCATTTACTTTATCTTTCAACAAAAAAGCAAATAGTAGAAAAAAAAGACTGTAAACAAAACAATAAACCTTTGGATTTAAAATAAAATCGAAAAAGGCAAAAAATAAATCAATAAAAGAAATTAGAATATACACTCCAATCGTTAAAGTGAAAAAAAGAAGGGGGGGGGGAAACAAAATGCCTGCCTTTTAAAAATACAAAAAGCAAAACAAAAAATCAAACCAAAACAGTAATGTTTAGAAAATTAAACAACAAAAATTAATAATACTCTAAAATCCATCCAGTCCTTAAAAGGAAGAAAGAAAAAAAAGAGAAGGTAAAAAAGCCGATCGCCATTCTAGCTTCCCGAAAAAAAAAAAAACACTAGAAAGTCTGCCGATCGCCATTTTACTTTCCCTTTCAGCAAAAAGCAAAAAATAAAAAGAAAGACTATAACAAAAGAATAAACCTTTAAATTTAAAATACATGTACAGTCAAGGAAAGCAAAAAAATAAATCCTCTAAACAACTCTGTCCGCTTCTTAAAAAAAAACTCACTAAATCACTTTAAACGCGGAGGTGGTTGCGAGGGCTTGTTTTGTCCCAAGGACAAAAGCAGCTGGGAAGCGGAGACAGTCTGAACTCCGTGGGAGCACTCTGTCACCCCCAAAAAAGAAAAATTGGGGGTACATAAGAGGCTCTACCACTATTCAGACTACCCTCTGCCCCCCCCCTTTGCCCGGGAGGGGGATTTTGAACCGCGGAACAGCTGATGTCTGCTGTTCATAGCGGTTCATTACACTTACCCAGGAGGACGGCTACAAAGTAGCCGCCATCGCCCAACGCAGATCCACCGGAATCTCGAAGTCCACCCATCTTAAAGCAGGCTGGCTAGGGAATTCTGGGAGTTGAAGTCCACCCATCTTAAAGTTTCAAGGTTGACAAACCCTGGTGTACATAATGTTGCCCCTTCCTACATTCTCGCATGACCTCCGGGACAAAATGATGCATCACACACTCAATCCAGACAGAGAATTTCCAAAGGCCTTAAAACCACAAAAAAGGCGAACTCCTTCAGCTGAACTTTAAAGCTGAATTTTAAAATGCAAAGGCCAGCTGCTTTCCTGGTAAACTCAGCGCTCCACACAAAAACCCTGGGACGCCGTGAGGTCACTGCACAAAGGCTGTCGTTTGTCCAGGACAACACCACTGACACAACCTCCCTTCACTCGCCTCCCTGCCCCAACGTGAACAGAAATGACACAATTCTCGACAAAAGGAACCAACTGCAGCAGTCAAAAGCTGGCGATGCTCGGACGGTTCGTCCTTCTGCAAACCCCACCTTTGCTTCTGCTTTGGGGCTCCCCTTTCTCCCGATAGAAGCAGTCCTCGACTTACGACAGTTCATTTAGTGACTGTTCAAAGTTACAAAGTTGCCCCAGGGTAATGTGATCCCCTTTTGCGACCGTCTGACAAGCTAAGTCAATGGGGGAAGCTGGAAGGAAGGAAGGAAGGAAGGAAGGAAGGAAGGAAGGAAGGAAGGAAGGAAGGAAGGAAGGAAGGAAGGAAGAGAGGGAAGGGAGGAAGGAAGGAAGGGAGGAAGGAAGGAAGAGAGGGAAGGGAGGAAGGAAGGAAGGGAGGAAGGAAGGAAGGAAGGAAGGAAGGAAGGAAAGAAAGGAGGAAGGAAGGAAAGAAGGAAGAAAGGAAGGAAGGAAGGAGAGAGAGGGAAAGAGGGAAGGGAGGAAGGAAGGAAGGAGAGAGAGGGAGAGAGGGAAGGGAGGAAGGAAGGAAGGAAGGAAAGAAAGAAAAAAGGAAGGAAAGAAGGAAGGAAGAAAGGAAGGAAGGAAGGAGAGAGAGGGAGAGAGGGAAGGGACAAAGGAAGGAAGGAAGGAAGGAAGGAAGGAAGGAAGGAAGGAAGGAAGGAGAAAGAAGGAAGAGTGGAAGGAAGGAAGAAAGGAAGGAAAAAAGAAAGAAAGGAGAAAGAGGGAAGAGAGGAAGGAAAGAAAGAAAGAAAGAAAGAAAGAAGGAAGGAAGGAGAAAGGGAGAGAGGAAAGAGAGGAAGGAAGGAAGGAAGGAAGGAAGGAGAAAGAGGGAGAGAGAAGAGAGGAAGGAAGGAAGGAAGGGAAGGAAGGAGAAAGAGGGAGGGAGGGAAGAGGGAAAGGAAGAAAGGAGAGAAAAGAAGGAAAGGATGGAGAGGGAAAGAAAGAAAGAAAGAAAGAAAGAAAGAAAGAAAGAAAGAAAGAAAGAAAGGAAAACGTTCTAGTCCTCTTGAGCCAAATAAACAGAAGCTCCCCTTCCAACGGGGGTCCCAGGATCATCCAGGCTGCCGCCAGGCCCTTCCCTTCCACAATGGGCAATAAATGGGCACTTGGAGACCTGCCAGTTCCCCGCTGGCTGACTCACAAGGAGAAAAGCCACCTGGGGCTTCCTGGCGCACCTGGCCCAGCCCGTGTGACTCAGAGACCGCCTGGGCCCCACCTGGAGCCAAGGCCGCTGCGGATGGCCTGGGGCCACGGAGCAAACTGGCTCTGCCCCGTTTCCGGCAGGGAGAAATTCGGAAAGGCTGCAGCGGTGACTCTCCAGAGGATTCTGGGTAATTTGTCTCTTTTGCAAGGAGCATCCTTTGAGCTCTGCGACTCTTGCAGAGGGAATTTTCCATCCTGTTTTGAGATCTAATCCCGGTTTAGGGACCTCTCAGCGACGCTGCAAGGTGGGAGAGTGGGTGGGGCCAAAGAAAGAGTGGGTGGGGCTAAAGCAGGGGTGGGTGGGGCTAAGGTTCAAGCTGGGTGGGGCTACCACAGGTCAAGCTCCCTGATTTGATGCAAGGGGAGCCCAGCGCTGCTGGTTTAGAAGCTGGTGACCAGGTGAGTCGCTCATTTTCCAACAAACCTGGATTCGGTCACAAAGAAAGCACTGACGGAAAATTGTGGCTACTTCACACCCACACACCCACCCAATGAGAGAAAGAATAAATTCAAGTCTAAGGTGGGACTAGAACTCACCATCTCCTGGTGATTGGTCCAAAATCACCCAGGAGGTTTTCATATAGACTAAGGCGGAACTAGAACTCACCATCGCCCTGGTTTCTACCCTGCTGCCTTAACCACTAGGTCAAACCTGAGCAGGGGGTTGGACTAGATGACCTCCAAGGTTCCTTCCAACTTTATTATTAGTTTTATTTTTATTATACCAATGCTAGCTTCCTCTGAAGTTCCTTCTCTTTCTTATTATTGATCATCGCACAGTCAGCCAGATATTCAGTCTGGATTTGGCATTATATTACTACTACTACTACTACTACTACTACTACTTCTACTATTATTATTAATCATCGCACAGTCAGCCATATGTTCAGACTGGATTTGGCATTATATTATTACTATTACTATTACTACTACTACTACTACTACTACTACTATTATTATTATTATTATTAATCATCGCACAGTCAGCCATATGTTCAGACTGGAGTTGGCATTATATTATTACTACTACTACTACTACTATTATTATTATTATTATTATTATTATTAATCATCACACAGTCAGCCATATGTTCAGACTGGAGTTGGCATTTATTATTGTTGTTGTTGTTATTGTTATTGTTATTATTACTATTATTATTACTATTACTATTATCATCCAGCTTTTATGCATCTAGGATTATAATGACATATGTGGGGATGACTTGAGAGACACAGAACAGCCAGATAAGAGCCGAAAAAGTTTTTAAGAAGAGACTGGACAGCCATTTGTCTGAAATGGTATAGGGTTTCCTGCCTGAGCAGGTGGTCAGACTAGATGACCTCCAAGGTCCCTTCCAACATTATTATTATTATTAACCACCTGCCTCCAGAAGCGGGGAATGCTCCAACACTGGAAGTCTTTAAGAAGAGACTGGACAGCCATTTGTCTGAAATGGTATAGGGTTTCCTGCCTGAGCAGGGGGTTGGACTAGATGACCTCCAAGGTCCCTTCCAACTTTATTATTATTATTATTATTATAAAATGAAAGGTGTGTGTGGGGGGGAAGGTCTTAAATCTACAGGCTGCTCCAGGACACCAGAGCATCCTTTAAAACCCTCCGGATGGGCGGGGTGTTTTCCAGCCCTTTCGAGGGGTGCCAGGAGACCCCCTTCCTCAATTCCACCCCCAGGGCACACCCCACTTGGTGGCGTGGGGGGTTTCCACCGTGGGGCTGGCTGCTGTGATAAGAGCTGCCTATTTTTTTGCTTATCTTGGCTAGTTTTCAGAGCACAATGGCCCAAGAGCACGCCAGGAAATTCTCATTAAAGGGACAAAAATACTATTGCAAAGGCCGGCGTGGGGGCCCAGAAACAATAATAATAATAATAATGAAAAAAAAGCATTTTTAAAAAGGAGTAAAGGCCAAGTAGGAAGTCAGCTGGAGGGGGGGGACAGGCAGGGCGACCCACTGGGCTCTTCCCAAAGTTGGCAAAGCCGGGACCGAAAGAAACCCAACTTCAAACCAAAGACAGGAAATAAACAGGAGCCGGTTCAGATGAAAGAGAATTGCAATCAAATCTGGAAAATTCCCACCTTCTCCTTCATCTGCTGTTCGACCCTGTTTCCCTCCTGTCATTAACTAACCACCCAGTCTAACGACCGGCTCCAGATTGAGCGGGTTATGAGGAGTCCTCAATTTACGACGATTCGTTTAGTGACCATTTAAAGCCACAACGGCACTTATGACCGATTTTCACACTTACGAACGTTAGCAGCATCCCTATGGTTATGGGATCAAAATTCAGCTTCTTGACAACTGACTCACGTTTATGACGGGCGCAATGTCCCGGGGTCACGTGATCCCCTTTTGCGACCTCCTGACAAACAAAGTCAAGGGGGGGGGGAGCCAGTTTGACTTAACAACTGTGTTACTAATTTAACAACCGCAGCGATCGGCTTAACGCGTGCGGCGAAGGAGGTCGTAAAATGGGGAAAAATTCACCTAACGACGGTGTCGCTTAGCCGCTCCTTCGTGGTCGTAAATTGAGTGCTTCCTGTTCTTAGAACATTTACTAAAGGGTAGTAAAGCGCACAGGGGCTTTTTAAATAGGAAAAATACATTTTACTAGCATTGAAAAACATACAGCTTTGATACCGATATACTTAATTTTTAAACAAAAGCATAAAAAAGAAACAGGAAGAGGACATAACGGGAATTAATTCTGTCTCCACGGGATCCCTTTTGACTTACTCCTTCTCTAAAGGGTAGGGGAAAAAAACCCCATATCCGGTTTGCAGGTTTGCAACCTTCACTCACATTGAGCCGATCCCACCACGATGGGCCTTCATAACATCAGCAGAAAGCTAGCAGCCTCGAAGTCATGATGGAATGGACTTCATCCTCAGTTGCTTGTTCTGGAAGCTGAGCAACCCAAGATTGGCAGAGAAGAATGTCAGTGGATGAGTGGACAATACATTTTCAGTTGCTTGTTTCTAGAAGCTACTCAGGATTGGCAGAGAAGAACATCAGTTGACGAGTGGACAATACATCTTCAGTTGTTTCTAGAAGCTGACCAGTCCAAGATGGGCAGAGAAGAACATCAGTTGTTGAATGGACAATGCATCTTCAGTTGTTTTTAGAAGCTGACCAATCCAAGATGGGCAGAGAAGAACATCAGTTGTTGAGCGGACAATAAATCTTCAGTTACTTGTTTCTAGAAGCTGACCAACCCAAGACTGGCAGAGAAGAATGTCAGTTGATGAGTTGCTTATTTCTAGAAGCTGCCCAAGATTGGCAGAGAAGAACATTAGTTGTTGAGTGGACAATACATCTTCAGTTGTTTCTAGAAGTTGACCAATCCAAATGGGCAGAGAAGAACATGTTGAGTGGACAATACATCTTCAGTTATTTCTAGAAGCTGACCAAGATGGGCAGAGAAGAACATCAGTTGTCGAGTGGACAATACATCTTCAGTTATTTCTAGAAGCTGACCAATCCAAGATGGGCAGAGAAGAAAGTCAGTGGATGAGTGGACAATACATCTTCAGTTGCTTCTTTCTGGAAGCTGACCATCCCAAGATTGCCAGAGAAGAACGTCAGTTGAAGAAGAAAGGTTGGTTCCTGAAGGTGATGGAGAAAGTTTTAGGTTCAGCTGGACAATCAAGTTCATGGGAAGAAAAAATACAGGAAAGGTCTAAGAGAACATCTTGGGAATGGGTTTAACTCCAGATTCATTTCCTTGAAGAATCACGAAAACTGGCTTTAACTCCTGATTAATTTTAACAAAGAATCAGTGCTTTGTCCTTTTCTTAGTGTCCACGAGCTGGGATTCTAACTGGACCAGCTCCTGAGCCTTGTGGACACGGTCCTGAATGTACTGGTGCGCCTCCTCATCATCAGCTTCCTCGTGACTCGTTTCAGATGTATACATCAGATCATGATCAGAGATGCCAAACATCTCCAACGAGTAAAGAAAGGCAATGTGTTCGTCTAGATTAGCATCCGAGTTCCTTTGGGTTCCGTGCAAAGATTGGAGCTGAAGTTGAGTCAACGACCTTCTCGTATCCGTCAGAACAAAGAGCTCTCTCAGTTCCTGCTTGCTAAAATAGCGATACGGATTCTTCTTATCTCCTGTACTTTGCCTTATCAACGAGTCCTTAAAGACCTGACGCCGGTAGATCTTCTCCTCAACCGTCCCACACGTGATCAGACGGTAGATCACAACGTTCTCCTTTTGCCCGATCCTATAAACTCGGTCTACAGCTTGCAGATCCGTGGCTGGATTCCAGCTGGGATCGAAGATCACCACGCGGGTCGCGGCTGTTAAAGTGAGGCCCACGCCGCCGACTTGAGTGGTCAGGAGAAAGACCGAGTAGCTTTTGTCCTCCTGGAAGTCCCTCACTCTCTTCTCGCGTTCCACCAAACAGGTCACCGTGCCATCCACGCGCATGAACTTGACGCACCGTTGGGTCAGGATGCATTCTATGATGTCCAACATTTTCCTCGACAAGGAGAACACCAGAGTTTGGTGGCCTTCTTCCCGAAGCTTGGCCAACAAGTCGACCAGGAACGTCAACTTTCCAGATTCTTGAATCAGAACCTTCTCAGATACTTTCTGGATCTCCTGCATCAGGCCCACGGCATCTTCTCCGTCCTCTTGACTCAAAGTTTCCAAACCAAGCTGGAGACAAGCTTGAGAAGACAACAACCGGGGGTGATCGCAGAGTTTCTTCAGGACGGTCAGCTCCGCCAAGGGGGAACGGGTGGTCATCAAAAGTTCCTTAATGTGATCCAAGGAAAGGAAGTTCCTGTAAATGTCTTCCTGGACGGGTGACAAGTAAACCCAAACAATAAAGTCATTTTTTCTCGGAAGAGAAGGGAGTTCCACTGTATTACGACCGGCCGAACCAGGCAGTTGATCCGATCTCAGCTTCTGGATTTCATCTTTACTTCTCCTCAAGAAATGGGGCTGTATGATGGTCATCAAGTTCTCCGCGATCTTGAGACCCAGAGCTTTCTCCCCCAAGGTCGCGTCCTTCTCCCTCGCCCGGGTGATGGGATTCTCGTACTCCATCTTGAAAGTTTTGGCCGTGCCAAGGAGGGTGCCCTGACAGGCAAAATCAAACAGAGACCAAAGTTCTTGCAGGTTATTCTGCACGGGAGTCCCGGTGAGGAGGACGCGGTTCCTAGCCGGGATGGCGCGCAAGGCTTTCGTGGTCTTCGCCAACGGGCTCTTGATTTTGTGGGCCTCGTCTAAGATCAGATAATCCCAGATGAAGGCTTGCTGGTCACAGTTTGATAGCTGCTCCCAGTTGGCCAGGATCATCTGATAGGACGTCAAAAGAACCCCCTTTTCGGTTTGGATGCGGTGCAAGTGTTGGCCGCGCTCTTTCTTGCTCGTCCCGTGGAAAAGCTTCACCCGAATTCCCGGCGCCCACTTGGCGAACTCTTGTTTCCAGTTATTCACGAGCGTCACCGGCATAACCAGCAAGACGGAACGGACCAATTTTGCGTCAAACATTCCCGAAAGGAAAGCGATGATCTGGATGGTCTTCCCCAAGCCCATGTCGTCGGCTAAAATGCCCCCCTCGCGTCCTTCGCGGTAGAGGCCGTACAGGAAGGCCACGCCGTCCTTCTGGTGCTCGAAAAGCTGGTCGTGCATCTGGCGGTAAAGGCAGAGTCCGCTCTGGGCCACATTCACACATTCGTCCGCCTCTTCTTCCAAGGCCAGGGTGACCAGCTTCTCCTCCACCTGTCCTAGACAACCGTTCAGATCTTCATCGGGTTCCTTCTCGGGCGGCATCTCTCCGTGACGAGGGGTGGGTTTCTTTGCAGACCTATTTGAGGTCTTCTGTTCTGCCTGGGGTCCGTTTCTGCAAGACACAACTTCATTTGGAGGGCTGAGAAAAGCAACGGGGGGGGGGGGATATGCTATTTTTCCTCTGAACTAAATGTTGCTCCTTCCTTCCTTCCTTCCTTCCTTCCTTCCTTCCTTCCTTCCTTCCTTCCTTGTTTCCTTTCTCTCTATTTCCTTCCTTCCTCTCCTTCCTTCCTACCTTCCTACTTTCCTTCCTTCTTCCCTTTCCCTCTCCTGGGACACGGCAGCCATCATAAACGCGAGTCAGTTGCCGAGCGTCTGAATTTTGATCACGTGACCCTGGGGCAGGGGTAGGCAACCTTGCCTCTTTTATGCCTCATGGACTTCAACTCCCAGAATTCCTGAGCCAGCATGGGGGAACTATGGCCCCCTCATGACTCGTGGACTTCAATTCCCAGAATTCCTGAGCCAGCATGGGGGAACTATGGCCCCCTCATGACTCGTGGACTTCGACTCCCAGAATTCCTCAGCCAGCATGGGTGGAAACTATGGCCCCCTTTATGACTTGTGGACTTCAACTCCCAGAATTCCTGAGCCAGCCACACTGAGGGGAAAGGGAGAGGTTTCCATGCTGAGCCATGCTGGCTCAGGAATTCTGGGAGTTGAAGTCCATAAGTAATAAAGTGGCCAAGGCCTAGGATAGGGGTAGGCAACCTTGGCTTTATGACTGGTGGACTTCAACTCCCAGAATTCCTGAGCCAGCCTGGCTCAACTTGGAAACCTCTCCCTTTCCCCTCAGCATGGCTGGCTCAGGAATTCTGGGAGTTAAAGTCCACGAGTCATAAAGGGGCCATAGTTCCCCCATGCTGGCTGGGGAATTCTGGGAGTTGAAGTCCACGCGTCATAAAAGAGCCAAGGTTGCCTACCTCTGCCCTGGGGGAATGCTGAAGGGTCATTTTTTCCCAGTGTCGTTGTAACTTTGAATGGTCACTAAATGAATTGTCATAAATAGAGGACTATCTGTATTGTCTGGGTCAAAACAGACTTTAAGGCAGACGCCAAGAGACTAGTCCACACCAAGGAGGGCATTGTGGGCAAACTTGGGCAAGGAGAGAAGATTGCTTAGGTTTGGAAAGAGAAAACTAAGGGTTGGGGATTGGGGGGGGGGGAACCTGCCTATCACTGCAATCTTTAAATGCCTGAAAAGGTCACACACCCCCCCAATTTTTTTTCCACGTTGTCCCAGCTGACGAGATATTGATTGACGGTCACCTCGATTGATTTCAACTTCATAAAAACTCCCCCTAAGTCGGGCAGTTCACGACCCTGAGAAATGGGGGTTTTTCCCCCTTTTCCTCAGAGTGTCTTGACGCCGGCGTCTTTCGGGTTTTTTTTTTTCCACTGGGGCTCACACCCCGAGAAACGGGGTGGTTTGGATGACCTCGACAACCCCTTCAACTTTAGAATGTTATGCAGGTCGTTTAGTGACGGTTTGAAGTTACAAAAGACTAGGGGCGGGAAAGCAGCTTATAACCATTTTTCACACTTAGCGGCCGTTGCGGCATGTTCCCCCCCCTGTGGTCACGTGATCAAAATTAGGACACTTGGCCACTGACTCATATTTATGACGGTCGCAGCATCCCAGGGTATGTGTCTGGGGGTGTATCACGTGATCCCCTTTTTGCGGCCATCTGACCAGCGAAGTCAAGGGGGAGAAAGCCAGACACATTTAACCACTGTGTTACTAACTTAACCGCTGCGGTGATTCGCTTAAGAACCGCAACAAGAAAGGTCGTAAAACAGAGCCACGTAACATCCATCTGGCTCAGGGGTAGGAACCTCGGCTCTTTTATGACTTCTGGACTTCAACTCCCAGAATTCCTCAGCCAGCCATGCTGAGGAGAAAGGGAGAGGTTTCCAAGCTGAGCCAGGCTGGCTGAGGAATTCTGGGAGTTGAAGTCCACCAGTCATAAAAGAGCCAAGGTTGCCTTCCCCTGTCCTAAGTCCTAAGGGTGAGCCTCCTAGACCAGGGGTAGGCAACCTTGGCTCTTTTATGACTCATGGACTTCAACTCCCAGAATTCCTCAGCCAGCCATGCTGAGGGGAAAGGGAGAGGTTTCCAAGATGAGCCAGGCTGGCTCAGGAATTCTGGGAGTTGAAGTCCACGAGTCATGAGGGGGCCATAGTTCCCCCATGCTGGCTCAGGAATTCTGGGAGTTGGTCCACCAGTCCTAAAAGAGCCAAGGTTGCCTACCCCTGGTCTAGGAGGCTCACCGCTTAGAACAGGAGGCCTTACAACAGGGGTAGGAAACCTTGGCTGTTTTATGACTGGTGAACCAACTCCCAGAATTCCTCAGGGGAAAGGGGGAGGTTTCCAAGCTGAGCCATGCTGGCTCAGGAATTCTGGGAGTTGAAGTCCACCAGTCCTAAAAGGGGCCATTCAGCAACGCTAGCTCAGGAATTCTGGGAGTTGAATCCACCAGTCCTAAAAGAGCCAAGGTTCCCCACCCCTGTCCTAAGTCCTGTTCTAAGCGGTGAGCCTCCTAGAGCAGAGGTAGGCAACCTTGGCTCTTTTGTGACTGGTGGACTTCAACTCCCAGAATTCCTGAGCCAGCATGGGGGAACTATGGCCCCTTCATGACTCATGGACTTCAACTCCCAGAATTCTTCAGCCAGCCTGGCTCAGCTTGGAAACCTCTCCCTTTCCCCTCAGCATGGCCGGTTCAGGAATTTTGGGAGTTGAAGTCCACCAGTCATAAAAGAGCCAAGGTTGCCTACCCCTGGTCTGGCTGAATTGCGGTCGTAAGCCGAGGCTTGGATGGTTTGTAACCGTACTGGTTACAACCTCCAGATTTTGAGAATTTAAAGGCCGGCAGGCAGAGAGCGGGGACACGTGGGGAAGGGCGTGCCAGAGGGAAAATCACCCCCACCCCGAAAATAATTAAAATTATATTTTAATTGAGAGTGTATCTAACAACCCCTCTTGCTGTAAAGTGAGGACTTCCCGTATTTGACAAGTGAAGAAAAGGAAGAGTGGTTACACTACCCACAACATCTCCCCAACACTGTCTGAAATGCCATCTCCGAGACCCAGGCTTTCCTCCTCAATGAGAACTAGGCCCTTGGTTCTTACCTTGGATCCTGTTTCACCCGCCTACTGTTTCTGGCTCTGGTCACCATGACGGTTGCCATGATGGTCTCCACAAACCAGGATTATTCCAATTTTGTCTCCGAACAAAACAAAACAAAACCTGCAACCAAACAGAAGTTGTTCATAGGATGGAAGAGCTACAGAAAGAAATGTTGAGTTTTAAATAGTCAAAATAGCAGAAATTATATACAGGGAGTCCTTGACTTACAGCCGCCCATTTAGTGACCGTTTGAACTTATAACGGCGCTGGTAAAAATGACTTACAAGAGTCCTCGCACTTATGACTGTTGGAGCGTTCCCATGATCACGTGATCTAAATCAGGGTGCTTGTCATGTTGCATGTACTTAAAGTGGCTGTAATGTCCTGGGATCGCTGGATCCGCATTCGCGACCTTCCCAGCCGGCGTCCAGCGAGCGAAGTCAATGGGGGGGGCATCTGGATTCATTTAGTGAGCCTTTGACAATTAACGGCAGCAATTATCTTAACTATGGCCAAAAAAAGAGGCCAAACAGTCCTTAACCCCAAATTTATGTGGCGAAGTGAGACATTTGTGGTGAGTTTTGCCCTGCTTTACGACTTTTCTTGCTTCTGTTGTTAAGTGAATCACCGCAGCGGTCACATTCGTTAAGCGAATCCGGCTTCCCCCACAGACTTTACTTGTCAGAAGGTCACAAAAGGGGATCACGTGACCCGGGGATGCTGTGATCGTCGTAAATACGAGGCAGTCACTGAGTGCCTGAATTTGGATCACGTGACCACGGGGGAGGCTGCAACAGTCGTTAAGCGTGAAAAACTGGTCCTAAGTCACTTTTTCAGTGCCGTTGTAACTTTGGTCACTAAGTGAACTGTTGTAAGTCGAGGACTACCTGTAAAATCAGGGGTGACTCCTTTAACAAACAATCCTTGCTTATCGACAGACATTCTGAGGCCCCATTTGTGGGTTATAAGTCAAGGACTGCCCATATAGGGGCCATGTCCTC